TAACCCCTTGTAACCCCCTGTAACCCTTTCTAACCCCCGGTCACCCCTTATAACCCCTTGTCACCCTTTTGTAACCCGTTGTGACCCCTTGTCACCCTCATGTAACCTTTCGTAACCGCTTGTCACCTTCTGTAACCTACAGCCTGTAACCCCTTGTCACCCTTTGTAACCCCTTGTAACTCTTTGTAAACCGTTGTCACCCCCTGTAACCCTTGTCACCCCTTGTAGCCCGTTGTGACCCCCTGTAACCCCTTGTAACCCTTTGTAACCCCCTGTAACCCCTTGTCACCCCCTGAAATCCCTTGAAACCCTCTGTAACCCTTTGTAACTTGTTCTCAACGCTTGTAACCTCTTATCACCTCTTGTAATCCCAGGTAACCCTTTATAACTTTTTGTTACCGCTTGTAACCCCTTGTCACCTCTTGTAATCCCTTATAACCCCCTGTAACCCCTCGTTACCCCCGGCCACCCCTTGTAACCCCATGTAACCCTTTGTAAGTTTTTGTTACCGCTTGTAAGCCCTTGTAACCCCTGTCACCCGCTGTAACCCCTTGTAACTCTTTGTAACCCCTTGTCACCTCCTGTAACCCTATGTAAACCCTTCTCAGCCCCTGTAACCCTTTTTGAGCCCATGTCACCCCTTGTAACCCCTTGTAACCTCCTGTAACCCCTTGTGAACCCCTGTACCCTTTTTTCACCCTTTGTAACCCGTTGTGACCCCCAGTAACCCCTGTAACCCTTTGTAACCCTTTGTAATCCCCTGTAACCCCATGTCACCCCCTGAAGTCCTTTGAAACCCTTTGTAACCCTTTGTAACTTCTCACCGCTTGTAACCTTTCGTCACCTCTTGTAATCCCATGTAACCCTTTATAACTGCTTGTTACCGCTTGTAACCTCTTGTCACCTCTTGTAATCCCTTATAACCCCCTGTCACCCTCTGTAACCCTTTCTAACCCCTTGTCACCCCCTGTAACCCCTTGTAACCGCATGTCACCCCTTGTAATCCCTTGTCACCAGCTGTATCCCTTCGTAGCCCCTTGTCACCCCTGAAATCCCTTGAACCCTCTGTAACCCTTTGTAACTTGTTCTCACCGCTTGTAACCTCTTGTCACCTCTTGTAATCCCATGTAACCCTTTATAACTTCTTGTTACCGCTTGTAACCCCTTGTCACCCCTTGTCACCCCTTGTCATCCCTTATAACCCCCTGTAACCCCTCGTTACCCCCTGTCACCCGCTGTAACCCGCTGTAACCCCTTGTAACCCCTTTTCACCCTTTGTAACCCGTTGTGACCCCCTGTAACCCCTTGTAACCCTTTGTAATCCCCTGTAACCCCTTGTCACCCCCTGAAGTCCCTTGAAACCCTTTGTAACCCTTTGTAACTTCTCACCGCTTGTAACCTTTTGTCACCTCTTGTAATCCTATGTAACCCTTTATAACTTCTTGTTACCGCTTGTAACCCCTTGTGACCTCTTGTAATCCCTTATAACCCCCTGTCACCCTTTGTAACCCTATCTAACCCCTTGTCACCCCCTGTAACCCTTTTTAACCCCATGTTACCCCTTGTAACCTCTTGTAACCCCTTGTAACCCTTTGTAACCCCTTGTAACCCCTTGTCACCCCCTGTAACCCCTTGTAACCCTTTGTAACGCCTTGTCACCCCCTGTAACCCCTTTCAACCCCATGTCACCCGTTGTAATCCCTTGCCACCAGCTGTATCCCTTTGTAGCCCTTTGTCATCTCCTGTAACGCCCTGTAACCCCTTGTCACCACCTGAAACCCTTTGTTAGCCCTTGTCACCCCCTGTAACTTCTGGTGACCCCTTGGCACCCGTTGTAACCCTCTCTAACCCCCTTGTCACGCCTTGTAACCTTTTGTCACTTCCTGTAACTTCTTGCAATCCCCTGTCACCCCTTGTAACCTCTTGTCACCCTCTGTAACCCCATGTAACCCTTTGTAACCCCTTGTCACCTCTTGTAACCCCTTGTCACCCCCTGTAACCCCTTTTAACCCCTTGAGACCCCTTGTAACCGTCTGTAACTCTTTGAAACTTCTTGTGACCGCTTCTACCCCTTGTCACCTCTTGTAATCCGTTCTAATCACCTGTAACCTCTTGTAACCCCCTGTAACCCCTTGTTACCCCCTGTCACCGCCTGTAACCCTTTGTAAGCCCTTGCACCCCCTGTAACTCCTTGTGACCCCTTTGTCACCCGTTGTAACCTTTTCTAACCCCTTGTCACGCCTTGTAACCCCTTGTCACTTCCTGTAACCCTTTGTAACCCCCTGTAACCCCTTGTAATCCCCTGTCACCCCTTGTCACCCCTTGTAACCCCCTGTAACCCATGTAACCCTTTGTAACCCCTTGTCACCCCTTGTAACCCCTTGTGACCCCCTGTAACCCCTTGTAACCCTTTGTAACCCCCTGTAACTTCTTGTCACACGCTGAAACCCCTTGTAACCGTCTGTCACCCCATGTAACCCTTTGTAACTTCTTGTTACCGCTTGTAACCCCTTGTTACCTCTTCTAATCCCTTGTAACCCCCTGTAACCTTTTGTAAGCCCCTGTAACCCCTTGTTATCCCCTGTCACCCCTTGTAACCCCTTTTAACCGTCTGTAATCCCTTGTAATTCCTTGTCACCTCCTGTAACCCTATGTAACCGCTTGTCACCCTCTGTAACCCCTTCTAACCCCATGTAACCCTTTGTGACCCCCTGTAACCCCTTGTAACCCTTTGTAACCCCCTATAACCCTTGTCACCCCCTGAAATCCCTTGTAACATGTAACTTCTTGTCACCGCTTGTAACCCCTTCTCATCCCTTGTAATCCTTTGTAACCCCCTGTAACCTCTTGTAATCCCCTGTAACTCCTTGTAACCCCCTGTCACTTCTTGTGACCCCTTATAACCCCTTTTAACCCTTTGTAACCGCTTGTAATCCGTTGTCACTCTCTGTAACCCCTTGTAACCCTTTGTAACCCCTTGTAACCCCTTGTCACCCCTGTAAATCTTTGTAACCGCTTGTAATCCGTTGTCACTCTCTGTAACCCCTTGTAACCCTTTGTAACCCCTTGTAACCCCTTGTCACCCCTGTAAATCTTTGTAACCCCTTGTCACCACTGTAACCCCCTGTAACTTCTTTTCATCCCCTGTAACCCCATGTAACCCTTGTCACCTCTTGTAACCCCCTTTTCACCCGTTGTCACCCCCATGTAACCCTTTTTAACCGCTTGTCACGCCTTGCAACCCCTTGTCACCCCCTGTAACCCCTTGTAACCCTTTGTAACCCGTTGTCACTTTTTGTCACCCCGTGTAACCCCTTGTCATCCCCTGTTACCCTTTGTTACCCCTTGTCACCCCTGTAACCCCCTGTAACCCCTTTTCACCCCATGTAACCCTTAGTAAGCCCTTGTCACGCCTTGTAACCCCTTGTCACTCCCTGCAACCCGTTGTAACCCCCTGTAACCCCTTGTAACTCGTTGTAACCCCGTGTCACCTCTTGTAACGCCTTGTCACCTCCTTGTCGCCCCTGTAACTTCTTGTAAGCCCTTGGCACCCCCTGTAACCCCCTGTAACCCCTTTTAACCATTTGTAAGCCCATGTAACCCTTTTTAACCCCCTGTAATCCCTTGTAACCCCCTGTAACCCCATGTAACACTTAGTTACCCTTTTTTACCCCTTGTAATCCCTTGTCACTCCCTGTAACCCCTTCTAACTCCTGTAACACCATGTAACACTTTCTAACCCCTTCTCACTTCTTGTAACCCCTTTTCACCCCCTGTAACCCTTATCATGTTGTCAAGACCAAATGAATTGCGCGTTGGATTATGATCTCTTAAGGGCCTTGCCACTTAAGAAAGTTTCGGCAAAACAAATAATTGATGAAACCGAGTAAACTCAATGCTTCTTGCTTACATGTGGGCTTACACATGTTCTTCACTGCTTTCACTTTATCTGGGTCAGGCTTGAGACCATCTTTGGTGATCACATGTCCCATGAACTTAACTTGCTGCTTCTTTAGATTCATCTTCTTGCTGTTTAGCTTGAGATTGACTTTTCTGGCTCTGTCTAACAGCTTCCTGAGATTTTGGTCATGGTTGTCCTCAGCTTCCTCTTGTGTGTCTCCATATCCTGCAACAAGGATATCATCTCTTAGAATCTCCACTCTGTCCAAGCCCGATAGCTGTTCATGAAGTCTGTGTTCAAATTCTTTAGGAGCAAGGCTGATACCAAATGGCATTCTGAGATATCTCTATCTGCCAAATGGTGTCCAGAACGTTGTTTTCTTGCTACTAGCTTCATCCAATCCGATCTGATAGAAACCATCTTTAGCATCGAGGGTTGTAAAAACTTTACCTTTGCTGAGTCGAGTCAGTACTGCCTCCAAAGTTGGCATCTGATATTTGGGTCTTGGATTGCCTTGTTGAGGTCGCGAGGGTCACGGCAGATTCTGATTTTTCCGGGTTTTGCTACTACAACCATGCTGCTGATCCATTCTGTTGGCTCTGTCGCCTTTTGTATGATTCCTTTCTTCTCCATCTCTGCAATTTCCTCTTTGACTTCTTTCTGAAGTGTCACAGCGACACGTCTGGGTGCATGTTGCACAGTGGTGTGGTCAGGATTAACAACAAAACTGCTGGAAATCCCAATGTGTCCGAGACCTTCAAACACATCTTTATATTCCTTTTGAATGGCTTCTCTCGTCAACAGGACTTGAAGTTTGTCTTGTTCAGTGACAACGGTGTTTACTGCTGAAGTTTCGTTAATGGTGACCTTCAACGAACCCAATTTCTCGCAAGTCTCTGGGGACAATAATGGTTTGTTCTTGGTATCCACGATTTGAAAATTAAGCTGTGTAGTGGAACCATTTCGGTGTATTTTCAATATAGCAACACCATGAGGCTTCATCAGCGAGCCGTCAAATAATCGGAGCTTGACCTTGCTACTTTTCAGCGGTGGATCGCCGGTTTGCGTGATCACTGCCAAGTCACGGAGGCTCATCACACTACACATGGCTCCGGTATCTAATTGACACTGCAACTCTGTGTGATAATCTTCTTTCATGTCTGAAAAAAACTAGAGTTGCGTTTATCTGTTTTCCATTTGTCTTTATGTTTGAGACTTCTTCGATTTTGATCAGCAGATCATCATTTTCCTCGGATTCTTCGTCAGAAGTTTCCACTTGTTGTACGTCTCTGTGTTTGCGGTTGCGGCTCTTCGACTTGTCATTAAAACGACAGACTGTTGCGAAGTGATTTGTATTTTTACACACTAGGCATGTTTGCCCATATGTCCTGCAGTCTTCTAATTTGTGCTTTTCTGGACTGCCACATCTAGTGCATTTTGTCACCGTTTGCTTTGGTTTTCTTTTCCCTGGAGGATTTCTCAATGGGTTTGATTTACGCGGTTGTTTGTTATTGAACCGTTACGCTTGAGTGCCCATGGCGTTGACTTGTTTCCCTGTTTGATCCAGCTTCATCGATCGCAATTGCCTGCTAGCAATTTTGCTGGCTCTGCAAATATTTACCGTTTTATTAAGATCTAAGTCTTCTTCTTTAAGCAGTCTAAGCTTGGTGTTTCTATCTTGGAGGCCATCCATGAGGGTACCAAATTTGCATGATGACGCTTGTTTTCTTAGTCTATTCACAAGTTCATCGGTCCCTTCATCTGGGCCTTGAGTCGATGAGTTGAATAGATGTCTTTCATAAACCACACTGGTTTTCGGCTTAAAATAGGCTTCCAAAGCTGCTAGGCCAGCATTTACGCTTGTGGACTCCTCTTCTGTCAACTTAAGATTTAAAAATATCTGCAGACAATCTTTTCCCATTACGGATCGCAGCGTCGCTAATCGTATTGTCTCAGGGCGCTTGTCAAGGCCAGTGGCGAGCTCGTAGTCCTCCCAATTATTGATTCGGTCGCCAGAAACTTTCATGGGAGCTGATACTGGGAAATTAGACGTGAAGCTTAGAGCGGTGGGAATGGGGGCCATTGTTGCCAAATGGCTGTAGGTGGCATTTCTCCTCGTGTCCCTGGAGGTTTCGGGATTGTTTTCTGTCTTCCTAGACTGACTTTTGTTTGTGCAGTTCCATGGTAGAACTCACGTCGTGATCACAGCATTTGCTGCTGCAAGAATCGCGATTTACTTCTTGACACCATGTTGTACTTCTAGCAGTAATCACACCATTTTATGACAGAGCAATCGTAGTTTTACTTGATTGACACTTCATACTTAAACATGTCACTCAACAAGTAACAACCTTTAAGCATTTGAACGATAAAAAAATACCTTTGTAGGGTCTGGAAGGCTAAACAACTTATGAGAATAACTGATTGCCGAAATGTAGGTATTGACTGTGGAGGCGGCATAGTTACGATCGAACAAATAGGCAATAAACAGTGCTAAATGGGGCACTGAAATAGGAAGGATGACCTTAACCCCGGGAAACGAAGTATGGAAAAAATCATAAAATAATTTCCAAGACCGCTTATACGTAGGCAAAGAGCAAGGTTGGAGACTCGAATTAATCAGGTGAGAAACTATAAGTGCCAGTTCTGGGGCTGCAGATGGAGAGGAATGTCTGTCGGCGAGTGGTCCATAAAAGATGGTGCCAGCCTTTGAAAAGTCTAAACCTGCAAGCAAGATAAAGCATCTGCTAAGGCATTTCGTGAACCGGGAACATGCTTTGCCTTAAAAAACAATGTTATTATGCAAGCAAATGAAAACGAGTTGATGGACAAAGGACAGCAATATCTTATCTCTAAAAGATTGCTTGGTAATGACATCTACGAGCGCTTCATTATCAGTGGAAAATAATATGCAGCGGTTCTTCATCTCATGACCCCACAGGAACAGACTCAAAACGATAGGAAAAAATTCTAAAGTCGCAATGTTCGTGTAAGCCCACTCATTCGGCCATCTCCCATAGCACCAGTGAGTGCCAAAAATAGCACCAAATCCCAGAGCCCCGGAAGCGTCGGTAAATAAGTTCAACTTGTGCGAGTTAAACCATTCGTCGAGTAAAAAGAAAGATTTCCCATTAAATTTAGACAGAAAGGATAGCCAAAGACGGAGATCTGCTTTAGCTTCACTAGTCAGGTGAATGAGGTGATGGGCTGACGGTATTCCAAGCATAAGATCGATCAGTCGCCTCAGAAAAGCACGACCAGGTTTAACAACAGCACAAGCGAAGTTTAGGAGACCAAGGAGAGATTGGAGCTCCTGCAGGGTAACTTTATTACGCCTAAGGAATTGCGAAATTAAAGCAGTGCATTTATGAATTTTGTCACGGGGCTTCCATAGACAGAGAATCTAATTCGATGCCTGCGAAAGATAAGGTAGTCGATGGACCAACTGTTTTGTTTGGTGCCATGGGGATACCCAATAAGAACAAAGGCGCAAAAATAAAGCTAGATATTGTGAACAGGCCTCATAAGAAAGAGCTATTATAAGAAAATCATCTAAGAGGTGCAGGATAAATTCTATACGCAGCCTATGACGGGCAATCCATTCAACTGCGGTGCTTAAGATTTCAAACGTCCGACACGAACTAGAACAACCCAAAGGCATAGAACGGTCGTAATAATAAAGGCTATCCCATTTCATACCTAGAAGGTGATAATCTTTAGGGTTGATCGGTATTATGTGAAACGCACTTTGTATATCGGTTTTGGGAAGAAAACAACCATGGCCCGCTTTCTTAATAAATCTGATGGCATCCTCGATGTTTGCGTAGGAAACGGAACTGTATTCATGCGGAATGCCATCATTCACCGACAAACCTTTAGGGTAAGACAAGTGATGGATTACAACGAAATTCACCAGGGACTTTCTTGGGAACAACCCCGAGAGGGGAAACACGAAATTTAGGAAAGGGAGGAGTTTGAAAAGGACCCGCTACTCTACCGGCGTCTATTTCTTTCGAAAGCTTGGCCTCAACAACAGCGGGCTGCTGTATGGCCGAAAGCAAATTTTTGGAAACAATTTCAGTTAAATCACCATCGAAATGAATTGAGAACCCTTCCGTAAAACCACGCCTCAAAAACTCAACAGTTGAATGATCATACCCGTCAAGGAGCAAAATCAATCTATCTGCTTGAACTGGGGTTGGTAGCTTTACCTTTGGCAGAGGTTGTTTGTTGACTGGATTATTATTTCCTGAGGCATGAAAAATACAAGTTGTGGCTACGTGGTCACGATTGCACTTAAACCAAGTATGTTTAAAATGACAGCCAGCGCAAACCAAACCCCGATGAAACTTAAAGCAAAAACCATAAGGGATGGGACAATCTGCTTTTGTATGAGGACCTGGGCTTACCCCCGAACCCAGTGATTTGCTTGTTAACGTGCTAGAATGGGAGAGAAGCCACAACTCGCTATGAATTGTGCCCCAAGGGAGCGAAGAAACGTGGGATTGACGAATAAAACAAAAATTTTCATTGTAGAAACGCCAATTATGACCCCTAGCTGCCCAGTCACGGATAAGCGAACCATACTTCATTGGAGCGGGAGACTCAGTGGGGTATTTCATAGTGTAAGTACCTACAAATACATGAAAAGCGCTTAACTAGGATTCGATAGAAGTTATCTTCCGAGGCTTCTCAGCTGGCTCCAGACAAAGGGAAGGAAGTTGACCCGATTCAGCGTTACTAACTGTTAACTGAAGTCGACTCTGTCCGATCGGGTTTACGAGAAGAGAGGCAACGTATTCTTGATTCCAAATCTTGCGCGGATCTTTTCAGTAACGCGCGTCGAGTGAAAGACTGGATGAGATAAAGGGATCTGATGGCTCACCTGGTGAGACTGCTGGCTGGGTGGCCAAATTAGACGCTTGCACGGCACTTTACAAAACAGGAAGGGAATGACTTGGGAGACATGGAGGAGTGGGAGGGATTGTAGCTGGTATCTCCATGACAGGAGTATCGGCAGACTGCAGTACAGTCAAAGAAGGCTGATTTTCTTGCCTAAGGTGTTGGGTTACAGCATCAGCCAGGCGGGAAATTAGATCATTGTTGAATGATGGGGAGGATGTGGACAGGTCAACTGAAGAGACTGCACTCCGAACTGACGGAAAAATAGTAGGTTGACTGGGCTGCCGATTTCGCCGCGGCCGTTTGGAGGTGGCGCCAGTCATTGCCTCTCCCTGGGAGCGTTTGGGTTGCAGTCTAGACAATGCTCGAGGCATAGTGAACCTAGAAAAATAGAGAAACGGCAGACAAATACACAAAAAGGGGGAGGAATGTAATAACATGAACTGTGGACAGCATTTAAGACTAAAGGAAACAAGGGAGCAAGCCATGTCAGACACAAATGTCGACGCAATTGTTGGCAAGTCCCAACAAAACAAAATGGGGCGACCCCCAAGGGCCAAATTACATCCGTTTAATGGATGTATGTTACAGGTCAAATTTTATTTCAACTTGTACGAATGAAATTATTTAACTGTAAATTTTGCAATAATAATAATATTATTAGTTCATTCATGTTCATTCAAGTTCATTCAAGTTATATCATTAATTTTGACAATTAATGTTTTACTCTCCCAGGGAAAAATTGGAAGCCTGGTGCTCCCAAAGCCATTAGGTGCAGTGCCAGAGCAAGGAGGTGCAGATGGTGGTGCAGATGTAAGTATTGATTCGATAATATGTGGCGATACTTACTGATCAGATGTGGCTGATCTAAACTTACTATTGTGAGCAACTTCCTATACAGGTAATATAGAACACAATCTGTTTAAGAATGGAAATTAACCACGGAATAAATTCCTTTTTTGGACGGATCACTTGCTGTTCTGCTTTAGGGATACCATGACATGCCGCTTTGAAGAACTCCTCGCTCATTATAGAGCGATCAACCTGTAAATAGCCTGTGTGGCAGGTACAAGAAGGGGAGGGGGAGAGGAAAGGGGGAGGGTGAAAAGTGCGAAGGTGGTAATAAGGGAAGGAAGCAATTCCCACAACATTGCACTTCGCTTTTTACCATGTTTGTTTACATTCGCCTCCCCCACCCAAAAAATAATCCATAAATGCTCAGCTAACTAGGTTGCCAACATCTGCAAAACAAAACGGGATTATTATTATATTAAAGCATATATGTGCGAGGAAAAAAAAACAAAAACACCTATTACACGATTTTCTAGCTATTTTTCACACGATAAACTACCAGAGAAGGTCGCAGTGGCGCAATTGACTAATCCGTCAACCTAGCGTTTGATTTGACGGGTTGCGGTTGAGTCGGTTCAAACCCCGTGGAAAGCCAATACAAATAATAATTTATTCTTCACATAAATTAAAATATTTATTATGGTTGAAAGAAACTCGAAGTGATCTCTAGATTATTCCGGTTTCACTTCGTGAAATAGCCAAATCGAGCCGAAAAGTCACGAACTTGCCTGCACGATCTTGTACCCAAAAAGTAACTCTGAGAACATTCCTGAGCGTCACTTGGCCCAAGTAATGAGTAACACTTCATTAAATGTAAATTAACCCTGGAATAAATTCCTTTTATAGACGGATCACTTTCTGTTCTGCTTTAGGGATACCATAAGATGCCTGTTAACATAGTTTTTTGGACTATGCAAAGAATTCATAGTTAAGGAATTTGCGGTAGCCTGGTACACACCCAACAGGAAACTCAAATACCGTATTTTATCGGCTATAAGCCGAGCCCGGCTATAAGCCGAGACCCTAAACTTTTAACTCTTAAACTTAATACGATCGTCTTCAAACTTAAACACAAAACATTCAGCTATAAGCCGAGACCCAGTTCTTAAAACGTATAAGAGCTCATGAAAAATTTTAATCACATTTAGCTTTTAAAATCTGTAAAAA